GTGTCACCACTAATGATTGTTCACAACACCAAACCCTAGGCTTTCCCTCCACATCTCCGCCCCACCCTTCTCGACGCCTAGCGCCACCATTGATGCCACAATTAACCAACCGGGCTCTTTAATTCCAGGCATATGCTTTCCTCGCTCTTTGAAAAGATTACTACAAAAATACAAAGGATGGAGGTATAATAGTATGAGTTGTACAGGAAAGATACAACTTTATAATTAATTAACACATCACTTATTTAACGAGAAATACTTGAAAGTTGAGAGATACCCAAGATCCAGACAAACACCAGTGCACAACAAAAGTGGAAAGAAGAACCCTTCAAAAATATATGGGTCTTCCTTTAATTCCAGGCATATATGCTTTCTGTTAAAGCATGTAGGCCTCGCTCTTTGAAAAAATTACTACAAAAATACAAAGGATGAAGGTATAATAGTATGAGTTGTACAGGAAAGATACAACTTTAATTAACACATCACTTATTTAACTTATCTAACGATCAATACTTTAAGTTGAGAGATACCCAAGATCCAGACAAACCCCAGTTCACAACAAAAGTGGAAAGAAGAACCCTTCACGTAAGTCTCACCACTAATAATTGTTCACAACACCAAACCCTAGGCTTTCCCTCCATCTCCGTCCCACTCTTCTCGACGCCTAGCGCCACCATTGATGCCACAATTAACCAACCGGGCTCTCTAATCTATATATACATTCGCCAACGTAACTAATATCCATACCAAAAGAAAGAGGTATAAAAAAAAAAATGGCACCAATAGCCTTTCTCTCGATAATAACAACCATCACCATCCTTGTCTTCTTCGCCACTGCGTTTCTTGCAAGCCACGCTGAAGATGACGAAGTGTGCATTCCTAGCGGGCCACCGGGCAATCTGAACTACGAATGGAACGAAACGAGGTTCCCGAAATCGAACGTGCAGGTCGGAGTGCTGCTCTTCGTCCAGTCAGAGCTGCAGTGGAACATCAGATTCAGAGACAGAGAGGGTAGTAATATTGTGGATGTTTGCAAAAGCGGGACCTTTAGCAGCGGTAACAGCGGGGGTAACGACTATCGGGGAACGGAGGTCTTCGTCTTCGCGCGTTGCAAGGGCGACATCGGAGGCGAAAGGTGCGAGAATTGCGTGGGGAACGCCACCCTCACCCTTCGTGCCAACTGCCCCGACGCTGTTGGGGCTCAGGCCTCGTCGGCGGATTGTTGTCTTCGCTACGAGACCTACAAGTCTGTTGACGTTATTTATTTATTTTTTACTGGCATAAGGCGGCTTGCTGTGCTTCGCGCATGAGCGAAAATATGACATTTTAAAAATTAATAGTTTGAATTTTGATCCAAAAGTAAAAGGCTTGTTATCTACAATTTCATGTAGTCGACACAGCGATGAACTTTAATAAGCGAGAAGGGTCGTCGAGCAAATGATTTCTATGTTAAATCTTCTCTCGTAACACTATTGATTAGTTTGTATTCTTTTTACTTTGTTTTTCTTTTCAAGTTCATTCTCAACCAAAAAGAAAAATGAGACATACTCGCTCAAGACCCAAAACTCAACAACATAATTTTCAACTCTCTTTGATCGGGTGAACCGAGTTTGTAACAAATTCACAACCGTGACCAGACAATTAAAAAAGCGTATAAAACTCACACACGCCTGAGAAATTAACAAACACTAAAGTGGATAAAACTTGCTCACGACCCAAAACTCAGCAACATTATGTTCAACTCTCTATGATCTGGTTGAACCGAGTATGTATCAAATTCACAACCGACTCGACCCGCCAATTACAAAATTGAATAAAACTCACTCCTTCCTGAAAGCTTGTACACATTGGGTTCAAGTAATTTTTATCAAGTTAAATTAGGTAGGATACCCATAGGTTTGCGTTCTCAACCAAAAGGAAAAACATAAATAAAATAGACTAAAGCGGATAAAACTCGTTCCCCAACAAAAAATTCTACACACCCAGTTCAACTCGCCTTCATTAGTTCGAACCGTGTTCTTAACAATTCACTGTCGGCCCAACATGCCAATTCTAAAGGCAGATAAAATTTGCTCTCGAACAAAGCAGTCAAAATCGGGATTTTGATCGTAAAATCGTAGGATTTTAGGATTTTACTTAGGGATTCCGATCCTGATTTTACTATAAAATCGGTGGACCTTAAATCGTTTAAAATCGGGATTAAAATCGTTAAAATCGTAAAATCCTACTAAAATCAGGATTAAATCGTATGAGAACAAAATATGATGTTTGAACAAATTTTAAAAAAGCGGAACTGATTTGGCAGAAAGGGCAATGATGGGGATCTACTCAAATATTTTTCCTATTAAAAAGCATTTGAAAAGAAAAAAAAATCAAATTATGGCTCGGTCATTCTATTTCCCTTCATCCCGCTGAACTCATCGGCAAAATTGTTTTCCTAATATTGTACATGTGGAAGAAGTAATATCATTATTAAGGGTAAATGATACATTTGGTCACTGAGATTACTAAATCGTGTCATATTTAGTCACTAGAAAAATTTAGGGTTAATACCACTGGAAATACCATCCTCTAGCGAAAGTGTCATTTATATTACGTACTTTCAATAAACACAAAAATATTCCAACATATTAGGAGTTTGTGTCATTTGTGTTACGCACATTTTTGTTGACCGTTAGAATTGACGGTTGACCTGACGGTGGTCAACTTATGTTTGACTATTGCTTAGGTGGCGCTTAGGTGTCACCCGCAAATGTGCCACGTAAGAAATTACTATTTTAAAAATATTAATTTTATTTCAAAAATAAATAAATATATTATTAATTTATTTTGAAATACTTTTTTTTCTAAATACTCTTTCTCTCGCCTCCCCGTCGTCATGCCCATCTGCTTCTTCCGTCGATCACCAACGCCGCTCTGGCGACGGAGGCAGGGAGCCCGTCTTCTTCCTTCTCGATTAGCGGTCGTTTCTGATCTTCCACTTGCACAGGCAAGCCGGGATCTGGGCGACGCGAGAGAGCTCGTCTAAATCCCTCTTCTCCTCCACTTATATCTCCTTCTCCATCTCACCACCCAATCGCAATCAAACCGCCATCGTAATCTTCGCTGGCAAGATCCGAAGCGGGAAGTCATTGAGATAAAAGATAGGGATTGGCACTTTGCAGCGGCTGAGAGGGGAAGGGACGCTGGAAATTTGCAAGGTGGTAGGGGGAAGGGACGCCAACCATTTGCAGTTCTGTCTGGGTGGTGGAATCGGAGATTTGCGAGCCTACACCAGCTAGAAATCCCCATTTTCATTCCACGATCTCATCAATCGATTCCGTCACTTTTCCCTCCAATTCTCGAACCGTCGCGGGCCTTCCGGAGGTCGAATCGTGTTCCGCCAATGATATCGAGAGGAGGTTTGTGAGGGCATTTCGACATAGCGGCGGCTCGACGCGATTCCATGTGGGTGAGGAGGGACGACAGGCGCAATCACCGATCTCAAGTAGTCCAAGAAAAGAAGACAAGAGAGATCGATGTAAGGAGTAGGGGAAGGATGAAAGTTCGGTCAGGGAGAAGGGGACAGTGGGGATTGAAGTTTATTCCCAATCAAGAGAGATAGGGAAGATAGGGGAGATCGATAGAGATAAGAAAGTTTCCTTTTTCCATTTGTTTTTTTTATTTTGCTTTTTACAATTTTTTTATTAAAAATTTCCACATATGCCATGTCATCCATGATTGTTTTTTCTGTTAACTTCTAACAGAAAACTTAACAGTCGGTATACAATTGTCATATCAAAAATTATGTAATATAAATGACACTTTCGCTAAAGTATGGTATTTCCAGTGGTATTAGCCCAAAACTTTAATATCAATTTTGGTCGCTCGAATTACTGAAACAGGTCACATTTGGTCACTCTTCTGTAGCCTCTGTCCAACTCCGGTCACTCGAATTATTGAAAAATGTCACATTTAGTCACTCGGATTACTGAAACATGTCACATTTAGTCACTCTCCCAAAAGTTTCCGTCCAACTACATTAATGGAGTTGGACGGAAACTGACGGGAGAGTGACTAAATTTGACCAGTTTCGGTAATTCGAGTGACCAAAATTTATATTAATTTTTTCTAGTGACTAAACATGACACAATTTAATAATCTCAATGACCAAATGTGTCATTTACCCTCATTATTAACTCAGTAATTGATTAGTGAATACATTTTTGCCAAGCCACTAGCATTAATTATTCAATTGGAGTTCATATATTATTAGTTTTAAATCATGATTAATGGACAGTGTTGAAATTAACCTGACCGGAGTACTACTTTGAGTTAAACTACCTAAACACAACATGAAAAACAAGAGCCAAGCTCCATGAGCTCTATCATTTCCTCGTGAATTATTTTTGTTACGCATTAAATAACAATTAAAATGATGATATTGGAACATTAATCATTTAATCTTGAGAATTTTCATTTTCAATATTATGTGTCTTTGTGTTAGTAATGGTTTACCTTATTAATATGATTATATGTTAGTTTTTATATGGAACTTAAAATCCTACGATTTTACGATTCCGATTTTACCCCAGTTTTCGATTTTAGGTAAAATCCCGATTTTGACTGCTTTGCGATACAAAACTCTTCTGCACCGAGTCTTGCTTCAATTGTCATTCTCAATCGTCATGTTCAAAATATATAATAATCAAATTCTCCCAGCTAAAGAGTCGAACCCTTTGCTAATGGATATTACAAATTTACAATGACTTATTACAATACAATGATTCAACATTCTCACAAACCCTAAAAACCCTGGTATCACACCTTCACAAAACGAACTGACACAATGGAGCTGGGTTATGTTTGACCTGGTTCGGGGAAGTTACGATTAAGCCCAACTTGGAATGGGCTCGCTTGATAGCTTGATAAGAAGCCCACACGTCCCGTCTTGGAAGAAAAACGGCAGCTTCTCTAATACATTCTTCTGCTCTCACCCAAATCGAATCGCCTTTACCGCCATGGATCTACCAGGTGTTCAAGGGACGATCCCCAGCTGGAGAGGGAGAGAGAGGAAGCTCGGTCGCTCCGGCGCTGTTCCATCTTCCGATATTATCAATGTGCCGCCGAGCCCGAATGCAAGTTCCAGTGAGCGGAATTTGTTAATAGCTCTGATTTCTTTCAAGAGCTCAAATCTGGTCGCTTTGCACCATGTACACTGCAATACGAGAGATAGTATTGGATCACCATCATCTGCCTGCTGACCCGCCGAAATACGATCGACTGCTACATCGAAAACTGAATGCGACTGGTGGTACATTTTTGTGGTCTGTTAAATATGGTGGGGGCTCTCTCTTCCGTTTCCATTCCCATCGTCAGAAGGGAAGTTTTGGGGACGAAAGACTCTCCAATCCCTGCGCTGCGCATCTCAAGATTCCACTCTCAGGTATGCTTTGTTGTTATTGCCTATCTGTTCGTTCTATATCTGAAGGCTGAATGTATAGGCATTTTTATGAACTCTGTAGCATGGTGCTTGTTGGTAGAACTATAAACTGCAACAATGATTAAATGGTTACAAATGAATGTTTAGTACCATTTTGATGGTAACGAGGAGTTTCCAATCATTTCGGATGAACATCTCCTTCTAATTATAAATTGGGAATTAAAAATGGAAGGATGCTGTTTTGTCTATGGGGACGATGGCAAAGATTGGAGTAGGTGAGGAAGCAAATAAACAATGACCCAAGAAGGAAAAGTCATACTGCAACAATTGTTCAGGAACTCTCAATTATTAGTTAATCAGAAAGACTGTCCATTTGCCAAACTGATTAGAAAGAACACAGATCAAAGATCCCCCACTCTTATGGCTTACTCCTCTACTACCAAAGCTTTGATGCCTCCTTCTTCTCATTATGACATGTATAATGGAAAGTGGGAATACGACGTTTTCTTGTGTTTCAGAGGTGCCGACACCCGTGATAATTTTACTAGCCACCTCATGGAAGCTCTCTCCCGTGAGTAAATCAAAGCATTCATTGATGACAAGCTAGACAAAAGTAGGAGTATCGACGAGCTAACCTCTGTCCTCCAAAGGTCCCCACTCTCGATTGTGATTTTCTCGGAGAATTTTGCAGATTCAAGTTGGTGCTTGAATGAAGTAGCCACCATTTCTCAAAGTCTGGTACGATTTGGCCATCGGGTGCTTCCGGTTTTCTACAAAGTGGATCCATCCAATGTCGCTGAGGATTCTGGAAGCTATGCTGCTACTATTGAGCTAAAACATGGAACTAGAAACATTCCCGAGGATAGGAAGAGATGGATGGATGCTTTGAAAGCTGTGGCTAATTGTGCTGGACACACCTCACAAGCAATCAAGTAAGTATCCTTTACTTCTATGAGGCGATCTTACTAAAATGATTGTTTCTTTCAACTCCGATCTCCATTTTGTCATTGAATTTTATTCTCTCTTTACCTTTTGTTTTGCCTTTTTGGACTTCTAGGATTGAATCTGAGTTAGTTAAGGCGATAGTGAAAGATGCTCTAAAGATACTAGTTGACATGTCGCCAAGAGTGAAGTCTGATACCTTGATTGGCATTGATGCGGGTGTCACTGAGGTTGAAAAACTATTAGCTATGGATGTAAATGATTTTCGCATTATTGGACTTTGGGGTATGGGTGGTGTAGGAAAGACTACTTTGGCAAAAGCTTGCTATCAAAGGTTTATATCCTCGACGAAAGGAACCAAACATCATTTTGTTAAGAACATCCATCAAACATGCTACAAGCAACGTGGAATTGAAGGAGTAGTACAAGATCTCTATTCAGCATTGTTGTCTGAAGACAATTTAAGTTACGAAGACTTGGATATTAGTTATAGAAGGGATCGTCTTTCACGTTTGAGGGTGTTCCTTGTTTTTGATGACGTGGAAACTTGTTCACAACTGGAGCACTTGTTGTTGGGAGATTTTTTCAATACCTTAAATCTCTTTGCCTTGGGGAGCAGAATTGTTGTGACAACTAGAAATCGAAGAGTGCTTGAATACTCAGGGGCTAATATCTACCACGTTAGGGGTTTGCAATTTCTCAAGTCACTTCAACTCTTTGGCATACATGCATTTAGAAAAGATACTCCTCCTGACGATTGGATGCGTCTGTCGGCTGAGGCTGTATCATACTGCAAGGGGAGCCCTCTAGCCATAAAAGTCTTGGGTGGTGCATTGTTTTGTAGGGACAAACGTTATTGGCAGAGCTTCTTGCTTGATTTGGAGAAAATTCCGAAGCCAGAAATATATGATGTTCTTAGGAGAAGTTATGATGCACTTGGAAGCCTTGAGAAGAGATTTTTTTTGGATATGGCTTGTTCTTCTCAGAGTATGCAGAAATCTACATTGATAAAATGCATGTCAACTAGTCATTACCCTGCCGATCATGTAGTAGAGGATCTAATTGATAAGTCCTTGTGCATTTGTATTCCTCATGAGTCCGGTGAAAAGATTGAGGTGCATGATTTGCTAAAAAAAATGGCTTGGGACATTGTTAATGAAGATTCAAAGCTTGAAGATCGTAGCCGGTTGAAAAACCAGGATGATATTCAGAAATTATTGACGATGTCAAAGGCGAAAAGTCGTAGGGCAATCGAATGCTTGATATTAGACCTTTCCCATGCCAATGAGATGTATTTGGAACCCAATGCCTTTGAGGGGATGAGTTCTCTTAGACTGATCCAATTCATGTACTCAACAAAAGAGGTCGGGACTAGCAAAGTTCATTTACCGTATGGCGGTCTTGATATCCTTCCTGACAGTTTAAGGTGGTTTTGGTGGGACAGATTCCCATCAAAATCTCTACCATCGAGATTTTCTCCAGAAAACCTGGTCGTACTTATCATGCACGGTAGCCTAGTGATGGAAAGATGCTGGGAAGTTCAGGTATGTTAAACAAGGATTGAGAGAGACTAGCGATGCTCGTGCACTACTTGTTTGCTGTCTGCTTGAAGATTTCTATATTTACCCTTCATTTTTATCTTTGTTTCCTTTTGCAGCAAATGCTGATGAATCTAGTGGCGCTTGACCTCTGCCACTGCATAAATTTGGTAGCAATTCCGGACCTATCTTGGTCTTCAAATCTCGAGTACCTCATTCTCGAAGGATGCAAAAGCCTAATTGAGGTATCATTTCATGTTCAAGATCTGGATAAGCTGATCTCACTCAACCTTAAAGATTGTACAAACCTCCAGACTCTTCCAGCGAAACTCAACTCAAAGTTCCTCAAGTATGTTCGGTTATCCAAGTGTCCCAAGGTCATTCATTGTCCAGAGATTAATTCAAGAGAGTTGGAGATTATGGATTTAGAGGGTACACCCGTGCTTGCCCTGCCGAGTGCAATATACAATATCAAGCAGGCCGGTGAGCTACGTCTCTGCGGCAAACACATCACGAGTTTCCCTATGATTTCAGCAAGCTTGAAACTGTTACGGTTGTGCCATACCACAATAAGAGAAATGGATTGTTGTGATGATCATGATCAGCAGGGTACTTTGCCAAGATTTGGTCGACTGGAGTTGGTTGGCAACCCTCAACTCAAGAGCTTGTCAAGGAATATATGGGAGATGGTCTCTCAAACACTCATTATCCAAGATTGCCCGTCGATTGAAACTTTACCGGAAATCTCACAGCCTGTGACTGGCTTAACTCAGGTTAGTATAACAGGATGTCGAGACCTGAAGCGTTTTCCACCTGGTATCAACAATCTGGAATCTTTGTGGGGCCTCTGTTTCACTGACACGGATATTAAGTCCCTGCCTCTTTGTATCCTGGAACTTCACCAGCTCTCCCATTTAATTCTGTCTTCCAACAGAAGTCTGGAGTTCATCCCAAGCAACATCTGCAAACTTGTCAAGTTGTACTACTTGTCCTTGTCAGACTGTTCAAAGATTCAACGTTTGCCTGAACTGCCACCCAATCTTCTAACTCTGGATGTAAGTGGTTGCGAATTGTTACAAGCCTTACCAAGCAACTTAGGCAGGCTAAGATGGAAGTCCCTGTACTTTGAAGATTGCCCGCATTTGGACACGAATCTGCCTAAAGAAATGGTGCACAATTTCCCTAATCATGCCGTGTTGAATCTACATCCTCAGGTATGTATATAAATATTGTTTAGAGCTATGTTTTTCATACCTATGATTAGTTGGAATTTTAAAGATCTCTTTGACGAGAGTACCTCTATGTTGGTAATACTAATAGGTTGTACTTCAATATTCGGGGGAAGAGATTCCAGGATGGTTTGCTTACAAAAGCGTGGATTTTGAGAATGATTCACGTTTGGTAGTGCAATTGCCTCCTTCAAACGGCACGCGAGTACCCAAGGGGATTGCATTTGGCGTTGTGTGTTCTTCAGACATTGGGCTTGTTGAGATATCTATCACTTGCGATGGCAACATCGGCACCATTGCCACTGCCTCTTGGAGTTCTCCTTTTTTCGGTTTGGGTCCGAACCAAACAAGTAGCGCATATATGTGGTACGACAAGAACTTGCTAGGTGGGATCAAGAAAGGAATACATGAAGTGGCAAAGCCTTGGTACGAGAGATTTGCTGGACTCATTGTTTCCTTCAGATTTTCTCTTCAACCATACAAGGGAGAAGATCCTGATAAATTAAGGAGCATCAGAATCAAAAGGATTGGCATCTCTCTTCTGTACTAACTACTCATAGACGTAGTTTGATGGTTTGTGGGAATGATGGAAATGGGCAAACGATTGTTGTTGATTGTTGTGAAGGCGACTGTCCCTTTTGTTAATTTGTTGCATCTGTATCAGAAGTCAGAACTGTTCATTTGCGCTTTTCTAGCCGTCCAACAAATTTGCCTTCCTCGATTGCAGAATTTCCGAATAGTAAGGTGATAGAAACCTGCTTTTTTGTTATTTTTAGCATTTGGACTCATTTGATAGTTTATGGTTGTTTGAGGATTTTATTGGGTATTGGGGATTATGTTTGAGAATTAATATGTTCGGGTAGTTATAGGATTTTTTTTTTTATAATAGTTATAGGAAATTAGGGGTTTGCTATTTAAACTATTTCATTATGTGGGAATAGAGGTTAAGCAAAATTAAACCTAATTGTGTTTCCTAGTTCTCTCTTACCAATTCCCTCCCCTTCACCCTTTGCTGTCGCAGCTTCTGCTTCTCTCTCTCAAATCCTCAAACCTTTTTCTTCCTAAAACCCTCTTATCAGGAACCTATCACTTGCTCGGTGATCTGTTCATTTCTACCATCTTTATCGAAATAAATAGGACCTGATACGAGGTTTCTATCATTTGGTATCAGAACTCCGTTACTGATATAGAACGAAGATTCAATCAAGGCAACAATGATATTAACCAAATCCATGACGGTTGCAGAGAAGGTTGAGAAGGCGGCGTTGGAAAAGGCCGGAGAGTTTGCGTAGAAGATGACCACCGCGGGCGGAGCTAAGGAGACCCAACCAAAGGGTTCGCGCCTCAGGGAGAACCGTCACGAGATGGGGCGGTGGAGGACTTGACGGACAATGAGGCTCTCAACGCCTTGTTCCAGAATCTTAAAGCTTTCCAGTTCGATACCGGCGCAAGCGTAAAGGTGCTGCAGGCAAAGGCGGAGACAGCCAAGGAGGAGAGAGACATGATGATGAAGATCCTGCTGGGGGTCCAGGCGCAACAGAGGAGGATGGCGGCTTTCTTGGGGCTGCCCGACATCGACGACGTGTAGGAGACGCCACCTGAAGCGCTAGAGGTGATGACGACAGGACCGTGCGCTACCGGGCCGCAGGCGACTTGGGAGCAGGCACCGTCGAGTGGCAGGGGAGCCGTAGGGAATCAGACGGCGGCAGCAGCAGTCCGCAGTCGAGACTCTCAGGCGCCGGCGGGCTAGATGGTGAGCGGCCCGATGAAAAATATTGATTTATTAAAAATTGATTTCGTAGTTGACGTTAATTTCCTTCTTTATTATTGACTTTCTAGCTCCATCTAGTTATGTTTAGGAGAGACTTAAATGTCGCCTTACTTCATTGACGTGTTCCGGTCTCTAACTAGGCGCAAAACCCCTAGGCGAGGTGGTTTGTCATCGCTTTGCGCCTAGGCGTGCCTAAGCTATGGCTAAGCGTGCCTTTTTGAACAATGGCGTTTAGTGGGTCGGGCACTACTTGGACCCGTTTACATTAGTAGTGTCTTATCAATCCGCGTTCGGAAAACCAGCATCACTCAACCTTTCCATATTTACCCTTCTCTTAAAAACACACGTGCCCCATATTCACTCAAAAGTTCTGTGTTTAAAAATATTGTTACTTTATGGTAGTTATAATAATTAAATCTATATTAAGAATTCTACATCGCGTCAACCATTCAAGAGTACAATTTGGTATGCAATATTTGAATCAATGACATTTCTGTTGCTAACAGTGGTGGAAAAGTGCTATGATTTTTTAAATTTAAACTTCATGTATGTTTCTAATTGAAAAAGATCGCACAAATGTGTTTATTGTAACTGGTTATGTTTCTAATCTTTGTTCGAATAAACCACGATTCAAATCTTATTACTCTTCCTACTTTCACTCTGACCGCAAAAAATTTGAAATGTGGGTTCAAGTTTTCTCATTTGACTTTTATTTATTTACTAGCTTATAATCCGGCCCGTTGGCCGGAATGTTCATATTTTAATATTTATATTTTTATGTTATGTTTAAGCCTATTGATTTGTTTAATTTTATTGAAAATCATTCATTCGAGATTCTACATAAAGAATGAATATATAGGTTGAATATTCATGAAAATACCCTCCTCATTTAAGAATATAAAAATGTATCATTAATCCCATTTTCATTATGATAATTGAGCCCCGATTAAAATGATATTGATTAATAGATTGTCTAGAAATATATAATATAGAAGCTCATTGGAATTCACACACGATCCATAGATAGTTTGAAACTGAAATGAAACCTCACAATCCCACATAAATGGTTTAAAGCTCTCCTCTATGAATAACATGCCACTAATAAAAAAGAAATAGATTTATAAAAAGAAAAAATGAAGAGTTGTTGATTCAAGTAAATCATATGCTAACAACTCAACTAAAAGGAGACAATCAAAACTTGAAAGCAAATGACAAAATTAGAGTTACATCCAATATGCTAATAGACTCGATCAAAGTAATGAGGCACAAAATTAGACACTCATTATCTACAGGTTCCAGTAGTTTGAATAGTGAATCGACCTTAACTTTAGTAAATCAATTAGTGATTCCTTGTTTTAACATAAACATAGGTTGTGGTAGTTGCAACAACCATAACACCTAAAGATCCAATAGTTTCCACTCTCCGTTGTACAACCAACTTTTTATTCTCCCTCTTCAATCTCTTGACGTATATGTTTTAAACCAAAATTCAATTTCTAATCCTCCTTCTGCAACTGCATTATGCTATTTTGATGGACCTTCTCTCCATGAACCTGAATTTCTCTTTCAATTGAGTTTCTTGTCAGCTTGATCTCCAACTCCTCAATCCTCTTTCTTGTATTTGGCCAACTCATCTTCCTCAGGCAGTTTTAATAAGCTCGTAAAACCAACACTCATCTTCAATTCCATCAATATGTTCTTCTCCTCCTTCTCTGCCTTCACCTGATCTAGTTCACTTCCATGCCCTTCAATACTGATAGACCGATAATTATACATGTTTTCACCCCTATTCTGAAGCCGTTCGTGATGAGGAATCTCGTGTTTTAAGCCGATTTCACGCTAGGTTGTGTGTTTATGTCATATTTCAGGTCCCGGCGTTGGAATCGAGGCGAAGGAACGAGTTCCGGGTTGAAAGGAGCGAAGTTGGGATAAAGGAGGCTGTTGGACCAAAATACCCGGCCAAAGGAAGAAATACCCGACCGGGTATTTCTCACTTCGGGAGTCCGTGAGAAGCAGAAGGGGGCCCGGGCGATGGCCTTAAATCCCCGGTCGGGGATTATGAGGATAGACCGGGGATTTTCCCCTTAGTGAAACGGCGAGTTTTGGATAATACCCGGTCGAACCCTGAAATACCCGACCGGGTATTTCGACCGGGTATCGCGATGGCAGCTGATAAAAGAGAAAGAAGGCCAATTTTCAGAGGGTTTCGAGTTTTTGAGAGAGAAAGCGATACCTAGAGAGAAAGCGACGAACCAGAGTTCCCAAGCGCCATAGATCGATCATCAACACCATTGGAGCCCGGCTTGAGCTTGGAGAAGTGCGATTAAACGTCCAGGAGCAGAAATCCATCTTCACAGTATGATTTCCGCGTCTGAATCTGCTTTTGCTTCTTTCTCTATGGAGTAGTTTCCCCCATTCATCTGGATATGGGGAACCCTAGATTTGTATGCTAGGTCTGATTGTATGAACCCAAGTACAGAGTTTGTGAATTGATTATATTCGATTGAGGTTTGAATGATTGAATGACTTGAATCCTGATCAAATTCCTGTTGTTTCTGCTTTGACCTAGAATGAGAATATCTGCCTAGGTTGATAGAGTACCCTTAATCGAAGGTGGCGAACTGGTGACTTTAGTCGAGGAGCCAATTCGCTATTCTGTACCGAATTCAATTCGGTAGTGGAGGTTTGGCTTGTTAGGGCCTCAATCTGTTTACTCCGGTGGAGGTTAGTCGCCCGCTAGAGACTCAGATTGAGAGGGTCTGGAGACCTTTAGTCGAGACTTCAGGCTAATTAAGAACCTTCCACAGTATAACTTTCACGAAAACTGAACTTGGTAAATTGCAATCCGACTTAACTGCAGTCTAGGGGGAACCATATCCGGGTGACCTCTCTTGACTTGACAACAACCGTTTACTTGCTTTGTGTTCTGTTTGCTTGAGTTGCACTAAAAGTTCACCGCTAAATAACAAGAATTCATCGAGTAGTCATCACATCTAGGACCCGGGTTGACAATTAAACCTAAACCCGCTATACTACGCTTTAGGAAGTGGTTGCACTTGGCCATTTTCTAGAGTGACAGTAGGAGTGAGTCAAGTTTTTGGCGCCGTTGCCGGGGAACGGCTAGGTTGTAGAAGAAAAGTGATTTCTGTTACTTTAGCATTTTCATTTTCGCATTGAGTTTTTGTTTTTCCAACTTGTGCCTTCACGGGTTTGAATTGCTTGATTGTGTGCAGATAGTGCATGACCCGTAGCCAGTCGGGAGGTTTACTGCCGTTGAATCCTGAGATTGAGCGCACCTGCAAACAACTTCGGAGACAACAGCGAGCTAGACTGGCTACGGTGGAGCGCCGAGACGGCCAATTGAGCAGCGACTCCGAGGACGAGTACGAGATGGAAGGCAATCAGAACCCGCCTCCTCAGAACCAGATACTGGGGAACGACCCAAATCCCCAGGGAGCTGGAAACCATCATCATCCACCACCACCGGGTCCCACCTTGGAGTACTACTATACTCCACGGATTGCTGACATCCGCCCGGTCATCCTCTATCCGCCCATTCCTGCCAATAACTTCGAGATCAAGCCATGCTGGATTCAACTCATCACATCCTCTATCCAGTTCCATGGCTTGAAGGATGAGGAAGCCCGGGTACATCTTTCCCGTTTTCTGCAGCTGACAAACGGGTTCAACCTGAACGGTGTCCCGGATGACGCAATCCGCCTTCACCTCTTCCCCCATTCTCTGGCGGGGAATGCTAAGAGGTGGTTGGAGACCCAGCCCCCATTATCCGGCATCGAAGACCACAGAGATTCAGCGGGAGATCACTCACTTCCGCCAAGAGCTAGATGAGTCACTTCGTGATGCATGGGAGCGGTACATGGGATACTTCTGGCAGTGTCCCCATCATGGCTTCAGC